CACACACACACACACACACGTTGAAATGGATGGGAAGCAGAAGCAGAGGAGAGGTCCCTGTAGTTTGTAGGAAACCACCTCTGCTCACGCCAACTTTGATTCTGGCCATGGATGCCTAGAAAGAAGAGGTAGAAGGAAAGTTAGAAAGCACAGAACAAGCTGGGCTCCCACGAGTCACATCAAAGCCCAAGCTTTAATTGTAGAAGAAAAACAACAAAAACAGCCAAGCACCAGTGGCTCATACCTATAATCCTAGCTACTCAGGAGGCTGAGAGCTGAGGATCACAGTTTGAAGCCAGCCTGGGCAGGAAAGTTTGTGAGACTCTTATCTCCATTGAACTACTCAGAAAAAGCCAGAAGTGGCACTGTGGCTCAAGTGGTAGAGCACTAGCCTTGAGCACAAAGAGGCTTAGGGACAGTGCCCAGGCCCTGAGTAAAGCCCCAGGACTGGCAAAAAAAAAATAGTAAAGAGACTACAGTGATTTATGGTTAGAGTCCAGAGGACTGAGATAGCACAGATGCGAAGCTGAACCCGTTCCTCCAGTGGCAGGTGATGGGGGACATGAGAGATTTGAGCGGGGTCAGTGTGAGGGTCCCCATTTCCTTCTGTTGACAGCAATGAGGGGTGAGGTGTCAGAGAGTGAGGAAGGGGCTGGAGACATCCCAGGATCTTCTAAATCAGCTCCAAGAATCACTCCAGGGACAGATCTTGTCTTGAGTCATGCCCTGGACTTCCTACTACTCTCTAAGAAGCTTCTTTATCATCCCTAATGATGGGAGATGAGCAGGTGCCACATTTCACTGTCTCCTGACTCCCCTGGGTCCCCAGAGCCAGCCCCAGGCATCTGGAATTATTGTACTCCATCAGGGCTTTGCAATTTATGTCCACCCCATCTGGCTTCAATGTCTATAAAACATCCTCATCTTGACCAAGCAGAAGCTCTAAGCAAAGCCAGACAGATCCACAGCCTGTCAGTCAGGGACACGGGTGGCTTAGTAATTAATTGGCGAGTTAAACTAAGGCATCAAATCTTCTCTGGTTCCTTAGTTCTAGCGGCAAAGAGGACACGAACAGGGGAGCCACTGGGCAAATCTTGTCTTACTCATTGCTTGAATGCCGGCATTCAAGCGCCTGTGGCTCACACCTATGCTCAGCAGGCTGAGATCTGAGGATCATAGTTCACACCCAGCCTGGATAGGAAAGTCTGTGTGACTCTTCTCTCTAATTAACCAACAAAAAGCCAGACGTGAAGCTGTGGCCCGAGTAATGGAGTGCTAGCCTTAAGCAAAAAGGCTAAGAGACAGAGTCCAGACCCTGAGTTTAATACTGGAACCAAAAAAAAAAAAAAACAATTGCTTTTGTCTGAGACCTACACAAGCAAACTAGCATCCCAAAGATGGGGCTGGAGGCCTGGCTAGACTTGGTACCCTTCATTGCTTTCCAGGCTTTGCTGTGTCCTTATAAATTAACTTGGATTTCCAGTGCATCTGACTCTGTAGGGCTGCTCACCCCTGTGGTTCAGAGATGCAGCAAGGAGCCACAGGCCCTACCTGAGCTCACCATCTCTTCTCTTGCCCTCTGTTCCCCACATGGCCACATTACTCCAGGAACCAAGCAGCTGGAAGAACAGGTAAATGCGTCAGGAAGCCCTGGGTCTGGCCCGTGGCATTCTAGGGGCTCCTGGAACGCTGTCTTCCGAAATCCTGGCCATCACTGATCTGGGTCAGGAACCCTTTAGAAATGCTGACAGCTAGATCTGAATCATATGACAGGTGCTTGAAAGCCATCTGCAGGGCCTCTCCATCTCCCCGTCACAGCTCTGCCAAGACCCACCCACTGCCCCCTGACCAACTGCACAAACTCAGTCTCCCACTGGAGCTCCAAACTTGCCCCTTCACTCATAACCTCCAGACACCAAACTCCTTAGGATGAAATCGAGCCTGAACTTGAACTCTCCTGTGTGGTATCTATGTCATGACCCTGTCCCGGCACACAGTGCTCTAGCCACTGCTGTAATGTGAATAGCTTCAAACACCTGCCTGCACCGCCTTTCTGGGCTTTCCACCCTCCCCTCCATCCTTCCCTCCTCCTCTGCTTCTCTCAAACCCGTTAAAAACAGAGCTTTCTGGCTCCCTTACTGGTTTCTCTAGGAACCCCAGCTCCTGCTCCCTGGGGTAACTTAGGGGTCAGGTCTGGAGTTCTGGGGGGGTCTTGTTATTCAGCCAAGTCCTATTTTAGGGTCTGGGCCCTGGTTCCTTCTCCTCTCTCTCTCTCTCTCTCTCTCTCTCTCTCTCTCAGATTTTTGAGGAACTTGGCCCACACTGCTCCCTGCCCAAGGGCTCCAATGGGCTTAATGATTACATAGGAGACAGGGTTGAGCTTGTGTCTCACGCTGGGGTTCCTCACACTTCGTTTGCAGTGGGCGCTACCTCTCATCCACCACCAGCTCAACAGCCCCATTTCTAGCCCCCTCACATGGTGGCTCCAGAGAAGCAGGGCACTCTCAGGCTGGCTCTGCCCTTCTCCATCAAAAGGAAGTAAGGTAGGGTGTGTTCGGGCACCACCCATTGGTCAGGCAAAATGCTTGCTGTGGTGACCAGAAACCACCCCTGCTCAGCTGACAGGGAGGGACAGGCACATCCCCATGTCAGCCTGGCATTGCCTGTTGGCTCCTAGGCCCAGACCCCATCCCTTTGCCTAGACTCTCCTAACTCTCCCAACCAGGAGCGCCTCAGAGGGCAGCTCATCATGAAGGCTCGAGCTAGACGTGAAGAATACTTGCCCTTTCTGGAATATTCGACCAGAATGGAGTCACATGCTCATCCTCAAAGACAGCATCTGGGCAGGGAGGTGTGGCCATGAGTGAACTGAGCATGGAGCTGTGTGCAGACCCACTGACGAGGCCCAGCAGCCAGGGAGGCCAGAGCAGACACAGAGCTGATCAATGATCAATTGCTGCTGGCCGAGAAGCAACACAGGATGTGGTGGGGAGTCTTCAGCCTCCACAGGAAAAGGGATCCTGGAGAGCAGTGTGGGGCCATGGAGTCGTCATGCCAGCTCACCATTCGATTGAGTGTGCACCACAGAAACACCCCAGACCTGCCCTGGGGGCAGGGTGTCAAGACATATGAGAGCTTGGAAAGATCAAGCTTGATAGTCAGCTAGGAGACTGAGTTTCTAATAAACAGATAGCCCAAGACAGGAAAAGAGGATGTCAAGTTAGATTTTGTGTGTGCGTGTGCTCACACACCTATGTGTGCATATGTGCACATGTGTGTATGTGTGCATGTGTACATGTGTGTTTTACTGGGTATGAAACCCAGAACCTCACAACTGCTAAGCACCAACTGATAGTTTTTTAGTTGTTGTTCTTTCTTTTTGTGCTAATTCTAGGGCTTGAACTCAAAGCCTGGGATCTGTCTCTTAGCTTTGTCTCTCAAGGCCAGTGCTCTCCCATTTGAACCACAGCTCCACTTCCAGGTTTTTGCTAGCTAACTGGAGATCAGAATCTCCCAGATTTTTCCTGCCTTGGCTGGCATTGAACCATGATCCTCATATCTCAGCCTCCTAAGTAGCTAGGGTTAACTGATACATTTCTAAATTTGACCTTGAAGATCGTATGAGCAGAAAGGTTCTGAAACTCATTTAAGAAGGAAAATATACACAAAAAGTAGTCATTATAGGATGTCAAAATTACTGATTAAATTAAAACATTTTTAACCTAGGCACTGGTGGCTCACACCTGTAATCCTAGCTAGTCAGGAGGCTGAGATCTGAAGATTGCAGTTCAAAGCCAACTTGGGTAGGAAAGTCTGTAAGACTCTTATCTCCAAGTAACTAGCAAAAAGCCTGAAGTGAAGGTGTGGCTTACATAGTAGAATACCAGCCTTGCGCAAAAAAGCTAAGGACAATGCCCTGGCCCTGAGTTCAAGACCCAGTAGTGACACAAATAACAATAATTTTAATAGTAAACAGTGCTTCTTGATTAAATGAAGGTATGTCAACTTTTGCCAAGGAAGAAGTAAAGAGCATATAAACATTTCATCCTCACTAGGGTGGGTGGGGTTCCGTATCCTTTGATGATTTTGTGTCTGTTCACACAAGCAAATAGAGTACAGATTTCAAAGAAAACACCAGGCAGGATACTACAACTTGGTATCATCAATCCAACACAAAAATTAATAAAATGGGATCCAGTGAAAGCCCATCACGGCCCCACTTTAGGAGCTGGGGACCCTGAGTTCTGGGGACAGCCACACACATGCTCAGAAACAAACCCTAGTCTAGTCACTCTACCCATCTGTTTTTGTCAAAGCTACCACAGCTCATACACGACCTTGGCTCCCCCCCCACAAGGTCATCCAGTTAATTATTGACATAGTGCATCAACTCTGAAATAATCATGAGTTCCCACATCCCACACTTCCTAGATTCACATCAGGGGGGAAAATATGGTCCCATAAGTGTCATCAACCTGAGCTACTCCGGTCAGAGTCCAGGTCTACCAGAATAGAAAATAGAAAAGCTTTCTAATCCGTCTTCACACAAAGGAAAGGAGCTTGGGACTCATTTCAAAAAGTTGTTTCAACTAGTGATTTAAAGACATATTCTCTCTCTTTCTCTCTCTCTCTCTCTCTCTCTCTCTCTCTCTCTCTCTCTCTCTCTCTCTCCACACACACACACACACACACACAGATCTGTGCAAGCATTATCTTTCCAGGCATCTAGCAGGTATAAAGTCTAGGTATAAACTACGTCTCTCTCAGCACTAGGAAGGACCTGGGCCCCTCCCTCGCTCCTCAGCTCCCTCCTCCCAGCCACAAGCAGTTAATTGCCTGCCCCAGGCTGCCTCCAGCCCAGCCCTAATCGGCCTGATCTCAGGCAGTTGGCTGCACAGCTCCATACCAGGCTGGGGCTGAGCACTGAGCAGCAGGAGCATTTTTCCAAGGTAATGATTAAGCTGAGCTCCTGGCAAGGGCACAAGCTACAAAGCCAGGAAGGTGAGCCCCATTCACACCTCAGCTCTGCTGGAGTGGCCACGACTGGTTGGAAAAGGCAGAGCCCCAGGGCTCAGGGGCCCTCCGCCAGCACCCAGCAGCCACGGCCTCTTGTCTGGGCACACCTGAGTGTGAAGTATTGCAGGACCAGAGCTTCTGCTGCCCCCCTGCATCTCTGCCCTCACCCGTGGCACCATGAAGCTCCAGGGCTTCTGGACTGGGCTGGAATACACCTGCCGGCTCCTGGGCATCACCACCGCTGCAGGTAAGACCTGCCTCCTGGCCACGGTCTCCCCATCAGGCGTATAGCAGCCAGAGTTGAACCAGAGGGATGGACAGATGAGAGTGGATATAGCTATCACTTTTGTCCTTTAATTTCTTTCCCAAGACTTCCCTCCTTCTAGCTCCTACCCCAAAACGTATACTGTGGAAAGGTGGCAGGTGCAGATAAGCCACAGGCAGGCACAAAGGAGTGCACGGGGGGCCTGGTGCAAGCCTTTGATTGACAGCTCACTCATTCTGTGACCTCGAGAGCCCTCTGCATCCTCCCGTGTCTGTGCAATGAGCCTGGTGCTTTCCCACCCACTGGGAGGGTTCTCAGAGTCGGGGGACTAAAGGAGATGGTGTAAAAGGCTGGGTGAAGGCGGGAGTTGACTACAATGGGTTAACAGAGCTCAACCACAGACCTACATCCCAGAGTGAGAATCCAGTTACAGCTCTGCCCTGATGAGACCAGCGAGGGATGACAATGGCAGTCTTCCTCATGCCACGGGGACCCCAACAGAACATAGAACCCCAAGTCCCTAGTGGAGACCTACTCAGGAGCTCACACACAGTAGGTGCTGAAGGAGAATTCCAAATGGGGCTCCTCTCTGTCTCTATCTCTGTCTTTGTCTCTGTCTCTCTCTCTCTCTCTCTCTCTCTCTCTCTCTCTCCCTCTCCTCTCCTCTCCCCCCCCCACTAGTCACATGGCAGTCTGGGATGACTTTCAGCTAAGTAGCCCCCCAGGGTCTGTGCCTGCTGGGAAGTGAGCATCTATTTTCTTTTTCTTTTATTGTGCCCATCCTGAGGCTTGAACTCAGAGTCTAGACTCTATCCCTGAGCTTTTGCTCAAGGTTAGTGCCACTTGAGCCATTTCCAGCTTTTTTTTTTTTTTAGTAGTTTATTGGTGATAAGAGTTTCATGGACTTCCCTGCCTGGGCTGGCTTTGAACCATCATCCTCAAATCTCAGCCTCCTGAGTATCTAGGATTATAGGCATGAGCCACCAGTGCTCAGCAGAGTATCTATGTGCTGATAAACCCGTAGCTCTGAGCCTCATCTCCCAGAGGACACTGCCCTGCAAAGCCCTTCCTTCCTGCCTCTGGACAAAAGGAGTCTTTCCAAATGAGAAAGGGCCTCATCTCAGACTCTGGCCTCCAGCCTTGGCACTGTCATGGAGCAGATACAAGGTCTTGGATCCTCTGGCCCCCTGAAGCTGTGCTTTCTGACCTGAATAACAGGCCTGCTAACCAGGCATTTGGGCAGATCAAGGGTGCAGGAACTGAGCATGGCTAAAAGCAGAAGTCAGGAGGAAGTCCCCACAGCTCAGGCCAGTGTCAGTAGGGAGCTGGGTCATTCCTGAGACAGCAGCCTGGATCAATGGACTGTTTCCCACGCTTGGGTTAAAAGTTAGAAGGGAGAATCATAGAGTCTGGTGCAGGTAAACTGAGATGAGTCACGACCTTGCCCAAGGGCAGACTGCAGGTCAGCTGAACAGCCAGCCTGGAGTCCTGACCCCTTAACTCCCAAAGGCCAGGACTCTGCCCCAAGCCCTCCCTGTGTCTCTGGCAAGAAGTGATTGCAGAGACCCCATGTAGATAGATTTACAGAAGTGGGTTCTAGCTGGGCACCCACAGCTCATGGCTGTCAGCCTCGCTATTCAGGAGGCTGAAAGCTGAGAATTGCAGTTTGAAGCCAGACCAGACAGGAAAGTCCATGAGACGCTTACCTCCAATTAAGCACCAGAAAAGCCATAAATAGAGCTGTGGCTCAAGGGGTAGAGCATTAGCTTTGAGACAAAAATTCAGGGACAGTGCCCAGGTCCTGAGTTCAAGCCCCAGGACTAGCATCAAAAATAAATAATTAAATAAATAAAAGTGGATTCTAGCTTCCTTGGTAACTATATTTTCCTCTCTGATGGGAAATGATAAGAAAGGTCTCATAGCCCATCCTGAGGAACAGAAAGTGACCTTAAGTAGGTTTCCAACCTTGGGCATCTGGTCTACCACTGTCGAACTGGGTCATCTGCTCCCTCTGCACTGTCAGCTACCAAGAATCCCAGTGACTGAAGCCCCAGCCACACACAGCTGGGGCCAGCTTCCTGCCCGGAAGCTCTTTTTAGATACATTTATCTATCCTCCTAATGGATTTGCTGAAGACAGTTTAAGAGTCCAATTTATCTCAGCCAATGAAAGGCCTTGCACACACATGCACACACACACACATGCACGCGTGCGTGTATGCCCACCCACAGGCACACCACTCTTCTTCGCCACAAACTTTATCTCTATGCAAGAGGCTGCTGTTCATGCTGAAGATGAATCTCCTACTTGGTTTTGATACAAGATCCAGGCTAAAAATAGGCCAGAGTTGCCTGCTAATGGTCAGGCTTTCCAGAGCACGGAGAGCAAGCTGAAAGCTAGGGAAGGCCTCTAGAGCTTTGGAGCAAATCTCGAGTTTCTTCCAGCGTCACTGGGCTTCTGGCTTATTTCCAGTGTGTAAGATTTGCAAATTCCTTATTCCTTTAAGCCTCTTTTTTTGTTGTTGTTGAAATCCTCTGTTGAAAAGTTCAGGCTCCACGGTAAGGGTACTTTAGAGGAAGAGGAAATGAGACGAAACAGATAGGTACTATGCAGAAACCCCAGAGGTAGGAGGGCTCTGGCTCAGGCTCCCCCTGCAGGTAAACCCATGTAGGTTTCCCAGAGGCTAGGAAGCCATGGGACTAAGGGCTCCCAGAGTGTCACCTGCAGGAACCAGGCCATCCTGAGAGGCTACAGCCTCTGGTGTAGCAGCCTCCTCCCCAGGCCTTGAAGACAAGAACCAGGCTGGTAGAGGTAGGCACACAGGTCCTGGGCACTGCCCATAGAGGGTAAGCTGCATGGTCATAGCTGTAGCAAGCCCTGCTGACCACTGGGCTGTCCCCTCCCCTCTTTACCCACCCCATTTGGATAAAACCTCCTTAGGATGTCCAGTCCTAAGGTCCTGAGGTCCAGGCCTATACAAGAAGTTTTCAATAAATAACACCACCAAACTCAGGTAAATAGATTACAGGCAGACTGGACCTACCCAGTGTGTCCCCTGGAATGGTCATATGAATTCCAGGCCATTAGAGGCTACACCCCTACACACACACACACACACACACACACACACACCAGTATCTTACATGGACTCATTACCATTACCTTTCTGACCTGGAAAGGTGTTGGGGTAGGCATGCTTATGGCCTATGTTCGTGTGAAAGTGTGTACACCTACGTGTATGACCACATACACACACATAAGGCTTCCTCCTCCATGTGCAGATTCAGGAAGAGCTGCCCCTCCATCCCTCAAAGTAGATCATGTGATCTACTTTGTTGTGTTCATCCCAAGTATGAGACTTGGGCCTTAGCAGAATCTCTTCCTATACACAGAACTGGTTAGCTGGTTAGTTAGTATGTTCATTGGGGGTTTTCTTTTGTTTATTTTTGTTTTTCTGAGTCATGGATTCACTGCGTAGCACAGGTTGGCCTTGGGCTGTTCATGGAAATGATAACCAGCCTCTACCTCTCTAGTGCTGGGATCAGGCACACACCCCCATGCTCAGCTTGTGATTAGCTTCCAGTGCAGACCAGACATGAGACTCAGGGCCCTGGGACACAGATTTTAACTAGCTAGGCCACAGTGGTCCAGGGTGGAGCCTGTCCTGTGGGCTCAGCATTGAGGCTGATGCCCCAGCCCTGGCTGAGCAGGTGAGGATAGCTTCCCTTTGAACTTCTGCAGTGCTCATCTCCAGAGGAAGCCCAGGCCCCCACCTGGCCCAGGCCAGAAAGAGAATAAGAAAAGCCCCTCTGCATGTCACATCGTGTCCTGCTCTCTGGGGCTGGAGTGAGGGGAGGATGAGACTCCTGAATGTAGAGGGTTAGCCCTCTCCTTCTAACCAAGTCCCTGCATACCAATAGGCATAAGCTGCCCAAAGCAGGTCAGCCCAGAAAACACATGCAGTACTTGAATCAGACCTTCTAACTTCCCTCAGAGCAGAGGCTTGTCTTTGTTCTTGGTGGTGTAGCTGATGAATAACACTATTATTCAGTGTTCATTTTGAGCCAAGCTCTGGGGGTACATGTTTTAAACACAGAATATGCAAAATATCCCTCCCTCTCTTCCTCTATTCTCCTCCTCCTGAAAGACAATAGGATTTGGGTCAAGTGTTTGTGTGTGTGTGTGTGTGTGTGTGTGTGTGTGTGTGTGGTCAGGTTTGGGCTTGAACTCAGGGCCTGAGTGCTGTCTCTAACCATGAGCCTCAGCCTCCTGGGAAATTAGGAGGAACACAAGCATGAGCCACCGAGACCAGGCTTAGTCTAGGCAGCTTTGCTGTCTGGAAGCCAGGCAGCTATTGGCTTATGAAGACTGGCCTGGGTAGGGTGATAACGGGCCATTCAGGAGACTGAGATCTGAGGAATGTGATTTGAAGCCAACCTAGGCAGGAAAGTCCATGAGACTCTTATCTCCAACTAACCACCATAAGGCCCAAAATGGAGCTATGGCTCAAGTGGTAGAGTGATAGCCTTGAGCAGAAAAGCTCAAGGACAGTATCCAGGCCCTGAGTTCAAGATCCAAGACTGGCACACACAAAAGGAGAAGGGGGGAGCAAGGAAGGAAAGAAGAGAGAAGGAAGGAGGGAGAGAAGGAAGGAAGGAGGGAATAAGGGAAGGAAGGAAGGAGGGAATGAGGGAAGGAAGGAAGGAAGGAAGGGAGGGAGGGAGGGAGGAAGGAAGGGAAGGAGGGAGGGAAGGGAAGGAAGGAAGGAGGGAATGAGGGAAGGAAGGAAGGAAGGAAGGGAGGGAGGGAGGGAGGGAGGGAGGGAGGGAGGGAGGGAGGAAGGGGAAAAGAAAGAAGGGGAAGAGAGGAAGGACAGGAAGGAAAATGAAAGAAAGAAAGGAAAGAAGGAAAAGGGAAGGCACAGAAAAAGGAAGGAAGGAAGAGAGAAAGAAAGAAATTGAGAGAGATAAACACAGAGAGAGAGAGAGAGAGAGAGAGAGGAAAGAACACTTGGAAAGAATGTGGCCCCAGTGAGCTACAGTAATTGGATGTAGTTACTCTGGGCCACTTGTATCCCAGCCCAGCCTTGAGATGGGGCCCTGAGCTGGGAAAACCATGAGCAATGTCACCGTGTCCGGAAGAGTTTTGGCCACAATGAGCTCAGTACTAATGGAAGTCAAGGATTAAAATAACCTCACTCCTCCCCATGAGAGGACTAATGGGAACAGTCTGCCTCTTATAATAGTTCTATTAGCATTGTCTACGCAACACCATCAGTCACTAAAACTGAGTGCTCATAACCATCATCTATGCTGCTATTGCCTTCATTATCTAGACCAGGAAGCAGCCTGGAGAGTGGGACTTCCCTGCGCCTGGACCCAGCCTGCCCAAGCCCTCTGCTTGGTCCATCTCTCTATGCAAAACATCCTTCCCCACCCACTGTGCCAGGGAGTCAGATGCTCAGAAGCGAGGTGCCTTGCCAGGCTCTACCACTGGCTGTTGGCCTAGTATTTCTGACGCCTGCTGAATCTCTGAAAGGCAATGCAGAAGTAAACTCTTGCCAGATGCTGATGGCTCACACCTGTCATCCTAGATACGCAGGAGGCTAAGATCTGAGGATCGCCATTCAAAGACAGCCCAGGCAGGAAAGTCCAATTAATCACCAAAATGCTGTAAATGGAGTTGTGGCCCAAGTAGTAGAGCCTTAAGCAAAAAAAAAAAAAAGCCAAGTGAGAATGAAGCCCTGAATTCAAGCTCCAGTAGCCACACCAAAATTAAAAAGGGGGAGCGGGGGGAAGGGACAAAGCAGAAGGCACAAGAGCAACTCTCCCAAGGTCCTGCCACAAACTAGACTCCTTTCTGCCCTCTGCTGGCCACCTGCTGCAGCCTCAGGCAAAGCACTGGGGACCATTGCTGTGAGTGAGCACTGCACCCCCAGCCTCTAACACACAGTCCTGATCACCCATCTTGCCCAAGGTGGGAAAACCTCCTGCCAATTGCTCCGTAAAACCAGTGATGAGCCCGGGCGCTGGTGGCCCTTGCCTGCAATCCCAGCTCCTCAGGAGGTCATTGAGATCTGAGAATCACACCAGCCTGGGCAGGAAAATCCATAGGAGTCTTACCTTTAATTAACCAGCAAAAAGTAGAAGTGGAGCTGTGGCTCAAGTGGTAGAGGACTAGCCTGAATGAAAAAGCTGAGCAAGAGCACAAAGCCCTGAGTTCAAGTCTCAGTGTAAGCATGCTCTCTCTCTCTAGCTCTCTCCTCCTCCTCTCTCTCCCTTTCCCTCTCCCCCTCCCTTTCTCCCTCTCTCTCTCTTCCTCTCCCTCTCTTCCCCTCTCTCTCCCTCTCCCTCTCTTCCTCCCTCTCCCTTTCTCTCCTTCTCCCTCTCTCCCTCTTTCTCTCCTTCTCTCTCCCTCTCTCCCCCTTACCTTTCTCTCTCTCTCTCCCTCTCCACCTCTCTCCCTTTCCTTCTTCCTCTCTCCCCTTCTCTTCCTCTCTCTTCCTTTCCCTCTCTCTCCCCTTCTTTCTTCCTCTCTCCCCCTCCCTCTTGCTCTCCCCCTCCATCCCTCCCTCAATCCATCCACCTATCTGTCTGTCTGTCTCTGAATGTCTCTGCCTCTGTCTTTTTCCTTCTCTCTCTGTCTCTCTCTGTGCCTCTGTGTCTCTGTCTTTCCCTGTCTCTCTGTCTGTCTTTCTGTCTCTGCCTCTGCCTCTCCCTCTCTCTCTCCCTCCCCCCTCTGGTGGACAGGAAACTGCCCATTGCCTGGAGCCCAAAGGCTCAGCCTAGCCTCTGGGTCTTCACTTCACAGCCTGTGACCTTGAGTAAACTACACCTTCATCCAGTGCTCAGAAACACAGCCATACCCCACTGTTTCCTAGACCAAAGTGATCAGCCCCTTCCCACAAGAAGTGAGGAAGCTCCATTTTGGTTTTCAAGGGGCAGCATCTCAACAGACAATGAAGGCCCCCTTCAGTATGGGACACAGGGAATGGAAGCTTATACATTTTTACAGGGAGGGAAGGAAAGGAAGGAGGGAGGGAGGGAAGGAAGGGGGAAGGGAGGAAGGGAGGAAGGGAGGATCAGGACCTTGGAGAAGCAGCCCAGAGCACTGATGAAGGGCCACAATATACAATCCACAAACACCCCTCCATCTCTGAGTGTCCAAAAGGACCTTGGGGTGAAGCTACACCTGTGGGTCCCAGAGTGGTCCCTGCACCTGCAGGAGAGGCCGAGTCTGAGCTGCAGTGTGTGCCCCAGAGCACGCCCCCATTGGGTATTCCTGTGAGGAAAGCGCCAGAAGCCAGCATTCTGGACAGCAGTACAAGAGCACATCCACTCCTGAGGAAAGGAAGGCTTGGCATTCCAGAACCATCTCCCACAGTGAGAGGACAGGAGGGGAGGCCGGGCTCATCGCACACCCCAGGGTCTTTGTGGGCTCTGGGTCCAAAGAAATGCACCTGGGCCTGAGATAAAGCCACAGTGCTGCAAATGGGAAGGAACACTCCCCCCAGCCTTCATCCCCCCCAGCCCTGCCGCAAGCATGAGCCAGGCACGGGAGGGGGTGCAGACAGACCTCACCACGGCCAGTGACTGAAGCCAGGAGCTCAGCCACCAGCACAGAGGGGATTCTAGAAGCCACAACACACAGAAGAGAGCAGGACGAGGAAGCTCTGGAATGGTGGTATAGACAGGCTCCATGGCAAGACAGACAGATAGAGGGAAAACATCCATGACCTGAGGATGCTGGGGTTTTAGGGGCCACCCAGGAGGTGCCTTGACTCACACCATAGCCAAGGGCCCTGGCAGAGCGGTGCTGTGGTGTGGCACCCAAGCCCACTCTGCTTCTCCTTCACCCTTCAGTGTTGATCGGCGTGGGCACAGAGACTTTCCTCCAGGGGCGGTTCAAAAGCCTGGCCTTCTACCTCCTGTGAGTATGGGTGCCGGGCCCCATCACACTTCCTGTGCTAGCCCCCACCCCAGTCACAGCACAGAGCCCTTCCCATGCCAATTCCACCCCACACTGAGGAAGGAACTGGGGGGGGGGGTTCTAGGATAGAAACATTTTTGGGAAAACTATACCATAAATCAGCTCTCTTAGACTCCTACCCACCCATCCACAGGTCCACTTGCCCATCCCCCACCCACCCATGCATCATCTTTCTACCTGCCCATTCCCTTCCCATCACCAATCCATCTGTCTATCAATCCATCCATCTGCTCATCCACTCACCCATCCATCTACCCAGCCACATATCCATTACCTCGCTACCCACCCATTCACCCATCTGACTATCCATCTACTCAATCATGTATCAGTCTACCTATACACACATCCATCTTCCCACCCATGTATCCACCTATCTACACATATCCCTACTTACCCATTCATTTGCCCATCTATGCATCCATCCATTTGCCACATATCCTACTTATGAACCCATCCATCTGCCCATTCACCCATCCATCAACTCAACCATATATCCTTCTACTTACGCACCCACTCACCCATCCATATGCAAACCCACACCCACCCATAGGTCCATCTACCTACCCACTCACCTACTCGCCCATCTATCTGCCTGTCCATTCACTCATCCATTTATTTAATCATTTATCAGTCTACCTATGCACCCATCCATCTTCCTGTCCATATATCATCTACCTACACACCCACTCACCCATTCACCTGCCCATCCACCCATCTGTCCAACTACTCAGCCACACATCCACACACCTACACATCTATCCATGTCCCCCTCTCCCTACCCATCCATCTACCTAACGGTGCATCTACCCACGCACCCATTCACCTACCCACCCATCCATGCATCCCCTCATTCATTTCTTTCCACAACAAACATGAAAGGAGCTCCCCTGCCTGCTAAGCACAGTTTGGAGACTTATTTGAATTATGCTACCATCACCAAGCTCATGAGCTGCAGACCTCATGAGTTGCTAGGATTACAGGCATGAGCCACAGGTGCCTGGCTCACTCTGAAGGTGTTCAAAGAACAGAGTGAATATTCCTTATGGCTGAGTAGTGGGGGAGAAGGGAAATAACAGTGTTTTCAAGGGCCTACCTTTGAAGCTAGGTGGCCGGGGTCAGTCCTGGGGCCACAGGAAGAGGTCACCCCTGCCAATACAAAGAACCAGGTGCAAATCATGTCACCTACTGGCCATGGCACCTCCTCCTCTGTCTCTGTATCAGGGCTGTGGTATCCAGGCAGAACCTGAAGAATGCTGTCCTGGAGACAAGCCAGCCTATCACTGGAATGGCCCAAAAGGCAAAGGCACTACGAGCAGACAGCTTCATGAAACCTAGGAAGGATCGAGGCACCAGCCTTCTCACCTGTCTCCACCCACAGGTCTATAGGGGTCGCTGTCTCTGTGTGTGAAGGGGCCTACTTTGTAGCTCAGCTGCTGGCCATCTGCTTCAAGTAAGTAGCCTCAGACATAGTTTGAGGAATGGTCCGTCCCCTCCCCCGTCCCTGGGAACTGCTCATCACTGGACCCCGGCATCCAGCAGTCCATCCAGGAGGAAAGCCCTGATGGTGGCTCAGCTTGAGGCTGGCAGCGATCATGTGAAGGTTGCTCTGCTTCCCGGTAGCACGAGTCAAGCATCCTGAGCCTCTGGGCATGGAGGCCCTGCTGCTGAGGCTGCTACACACTGTTCAGAATCTAAACACGCCAGCGACTCACACCTGTAATCCTAGCTACTCTGGAGACTGAGGACTAAAGGAGGTTTGAAGGCACTCTGGGCAGGAAAGTCTATAAGACTCTTATCTCTAACTAACCACCAAAACACTAGCAGTGGAGTTGTGGCTCAAGAGGTAGAGCTCTAAGCCGGGCGCTGGTGGCTCACGCCTGTAATCCTAGCTACTCAGGAGGCTGAGATCTGAGGATCGCGGTTCAAAGGCAGCCCGGGCAGGAGAGACCGTGAGACTCCTATCTCCAATAAACCACCAGAAAACCGGAAGTGGCGCTGTAGCTCAAGTGGTAGAGCGCTAGCCTTGAGCTGAAGAGCTGAGGGACAGCGCCCAGGCCCAGAGTTCAAGCCCCATGACTGACAAAAAAAAAAAAAGAGGTAGAGCTCTAGCCTTGAGCAAAAAGCTCAGGGACAGTGCCCAGGCCCAGAGTTCTAGCCCCAGGACCGAAACACACACACACACACACACACACACACACACACACACATACACACACACTATCATCTGTGTGGCCAAAGGCTGGGGAACAGACCATAGCTCCCAGAGCACAGACAGGCAGGTCCTCAAGTGGCCAGCCAGACCTCACAGCTGCTGAGCACCTGCTGCAAGAGTCACAGAAAGAACTGTACTAGTGACAGTCTCCCCTACAAAAATGTAAGTTCTATTCCCAACCACCCTAAATATAAACTTAGGTGGGGGGGAGCTGCTAGGATCTAACTGCACCCCAGGCTCCCCGGCCCTGAGGCAATTTCCTTTCCTCCTCCCCACCCCCTCCCTTTCAGAGGTGCTGGGAACCACCATCCCCTTGGAAGTGCTTTTATGTTCTCAGAGATGGCCACTGGGGGGCACCAGCGAGCTGTATCAAGCTCACTCACATTCCTGTGAGTGGTCCTCCCTCTCCCTCTCCCTCTCCCTCTCCCTCCCCTCCTCTCTCTCTCTCTCTCTCTCCTCTCTCTTTCCCTTTCCCTCCCTCCCCCATCCTCTCCCCCTCTCTCTAAGCCAATGCAGAGCAGGAAGGGTTTAAAGGCTGGCACTGTCCTCTGAATCGAGAGGCAGGGTCTTGGAAGAAACCCACTCTGCATCAGGCCTCTTCCATTGTCCAGGGCATGGCTCTACAAGTAGGGTGCCGCTAGATTGCCAGCACAGCCACACACGCACGCGCGCACACACACACACACACACACACACACACACACGTCGCTCCCAGTGGGGTGACTCCTATACTGGCACCTTCTCTGCTCTGTGTGGACTCCTGAGTGGGTCTTGAGCAAGCCATTAACCTTCCTTCCCTTCTTCCCAGGAAGACTGAGAAGGCTTTCCGAAGAACAAAACAAAAAGTGTAGAGCCTCAGACACGGGTTAGAACCCATAGGAGCCACAGGGAGAAGGTTCCAGATGTCTGTAACCCCAATCCCTGAATGTTGTTCTGCCAAGAGCCACTAGGATTGCACCCAGAGCCCAGCCCCAGCCTCCCATGACCTTTCTGTGGCTGGGCTTTGCCTCTGCCCTTCCTGCTAACCCTGGAATCCCTCCCCAGGTGTCAGCCAGGGTCCTTGGCCCACAGAGCACGAGAGAAGGCCCATTGGCTGGGCTGCTTCCAGAAGTTTCTGGCCTACATGCTGCTGTCAGTGGCCTGCTTCCTCCACCCTGTTCTGGTATGGCACGTGACCATCCCAGGTAGGCTTGTGGGAAGCAGAGGGCACCGGGGATATAATCTCTGCCCGGGTAGGGGCTGCACAGTGCCTGGGAAGTAGAAGATATTCCATGCAGGAGTGTCCCAAGGGGAGAGCTTCTTGCTGGAAGCCATTCCCCGGAGGGTCCTCTCATGGATCAAGTCTGATCCCAGGTTTCCAAGTATAAAAGCTGGGCATTTTTCTGCCCCCTAATCCTTTTACCTCCTGGAGATGGTTGTGGGCTGCAGAGCCAGCCAGTGACAGTCACTGGTGTCTCTGAAGGGCCTGGCCCCTTAGCTGTCCCTCACACAGCACTGACCCTCCACACTTCCTTTGGCTGAAGTTTGATTCCAGTTGTGGGGGGGGGGGAGGGAAGCTAAGCCACAAGGGCCGCACAGCACTGACTCACTTGCACAACCTCTGGTTCTTCTCCATGGTGTAGATCTAGCTTTCTGAGCATTCAGTTCTCTTCCAGGTTCCATGCTCATTGTTACTGGCCTGGCCTACTTCCTACTGAGCAAGCGGACAAAGAATAAAGCTGCCCCCCACACAGCAACCCCCCCACAGCAGTACTCAGACCCCTCGGGCAGCGTCACAAGTACCACTGGCTCCGGGGACACTGAGCAAACCTACACTTTCCACGGTGCCTTCAAGGAGGGTCCCGGCTCCCTGCTCATCCACATGAAAAGCATCCTGAAAGGAACCAAGAAACCCAGCCCCCTGCCACCTCCACAAACTCTTGTAGAACTGACATTGGAGCCAGATGATCTGCTGGCCAGAAAGAAGCAGGTGCATTTCGAGGACAGCGTGGTGCGAATCATCCCATCCCTGGCCGAGGGTCTGGACGACGGAGACAGTGAGCCAGAGGAGACGGCCTCTGATACAACCCCCATCATCCCTCCCCCACAGGCCCCCCTCCTGTCTTCACTCATGGGCGCTGATTTATTCTGAGCAGCTCTGCTAGGGGGCGCTGCATAGACCCTGTCCAGGTCTTCCCCACCCTAGACTTCCTGCTAACCACAGGCCCTGCTGCATGCTGGGCCTTAACTGGTCAGGTCAAGGGAGCGTTGGGTGTGCATAACAAATCAGTAGTTCTGCAGACACCTGCAGGAAGGCAGGAAGAGAGCCAGCACGGGGTCTTCCCCACCTGGAATGAGCGCCCACTCCTCCTTCGTGGCTGTGAAGATGGCGGTCATGCCTTCCTCAAAGACACCACCAGCCCCCTTCATACAAGGTTGCAGGTGCATTTGCTGCAGCCCCCAGAGGGTCAGAGGATGCCTGCCCTGCCCAAGCCATGGCAACCTCATTCCTGACACAGAGCTCAGACTCCTGGTCCCTTTCCCCCTCTGACATGACCTCCCAGCCCTAAAAGGCCCGGAGGTGCTCTGAGCATCTCCACGGCTGGTGTTGAGAGGGGTTGGCAGAGTCCAGGGTGATGTGGGACTGGCAGGAAGGACCAGGAAGGCAAGCTTTGGACAAACAAGGACTTACAAAATGGCATAAGGAAGCAATGCCCCTCTGTGCTCCAGACCAGAGAGCTGTGCTCCTGCCAGAAGCATGGCTGCAGGCTCCCAGATCCTCCACTACATGGGCTGCTCTGAGAGTCCAAAGACCATGTTGCACATTGAGCCTCTGATCCTAACTCCTCGGGAGGCTGAGATTTAAGGATTCAGGTTTGAAGCCAGCCCAAACAGGAAAGTCCTGAGACTCTTATCCCCAATTAACCAACAAAAAGCCAGAAGTGGGGCTTTGAGTGGCAAAGCTGAGAGACAGCACCCTGGTCCTGAGTTCAAGCCCCAGTATCAGCATACTCACATAAAGGGATGTTGGGAGCCTGTGACCATCTTCAGCAGCCAGGCACAGTGGGCGGGGCTTGCTGGGGGTTGGGACCACAGAGGTGATGACCTGGAAAGACACCCACAGTAAAGCATGGCACACCGAGGTGTCCGTGGGATGGAATGGGTGATAAACTCATGTTTATCTCAAGGGGGAGTGGGGAAAGAAGAGAAAATACAAGGGTAGTGATTAGGGCAAGGTCTCTGCCTTGACCTACCAAAGCGACAATTAACCCGGGATGCACAAAGGTGAGTGAATCAAGTATTTCCTAATGAAAAGATTTGTAGTGTGGTCATGTGTGTGTGTGTGTGTGTGTGTGTGTGTGTGTGTGTGTGCGTGTGCGTGTGCGTGTGCGTGTGCGTGTGTGTGTGTGTGTGTGTGTGTACATTGGGGCTTGAACTCAGGGCCTGAGTCACGTAGCTTTTTCCAAGTGGTAGCATTCTACCACTTGATCCACAGCTCTAATTCTGGCTATTTGCTGGCGATTGAAGATGACCAAGGATTGGTCTTCTTGAGTTGGGATCATCAGATCTCAGCCTCCCCAGTTGCTAGGATTACAGGCATGAGCTGCCAGCACCCAGCCAAAAAGGTGGTCTTGACTTCTGAAAGTTGTGATTGTTCCATGACGCTATGCCCAGACAACAGTCGCTTCCTCCTCCCTGGCCACCTCAGGAGCAGTGGGAAAAGAAAAAGAGCTGTGGGTTCCCATAGCTTGTGAGGAATAAACACAAGACACACATTTCACAGTCCAGATAAGAAACACACTCAGGCCAAGCCCTGGGCCTCACATCTGTAATGCCAGCCACTTGGGAGACAGAGTTCAGGGTTCATGACTCGAGGGCGGCCCAGACAAAAAGCTACACAAACAAATCCAGACACAGTTGCACATGCCTGTAATCCCAGCTATGCAGGAGGCCATGGGTAGGAGGATTGCCGTTCAAGGTGACTCTAGACAAGAAAGCATGAGGCTTTATAATGAAAAATAACTAAATCTAAAAAGGCTGAGGTAGCACAAGTGGTAGAAGGTTCGAGGCCCTGAGTTCAACTGCAGTAACCAGAGAAGAGAAAGAAGAGAAGGGAAGAGAGGAGAGGAGAGAAGAGAAGAGAGGAGAGAGGAGAGAAGAGGAGAGAAGAGAAGAGATGTGAAGAGAAGAGAAGAGAAGCATGTTCCTGGTTGCACATCTTCAGTGTCCCCAGACCTAGCTGCATTGTTTCTGCACACATGTGGAAATAAAGCTGGTCAGCAGCAGCTGGTCAAAGGAGTGTTTTCTTGCAACTCTCCTCACAGGTCAGTGACAGATGGGTAGCAGGCATAGCCCTTGATGGTGGAACTCTTGAGCTAAAAGCTTTGGCTGCTGTGTGGAGAGACTTCAGGTTGGACAGAGCAGTCAGGGACAGTGGGGTGGACTGTGGGGAGAGGAGGTGGGTCCTGGGGCAGGGAAGTGGTTGGAGGTCATGCTCCTGGTGCCCAGCCATCATGATGTAAATGTGATGACCACAGACACCCTAAGACACCCAAGCAGCCTCATCGGTCCTAGCAGCTGGTAATAAGTTGCGAATCTACAGGTACCACGTCACCAATCACCAGGCAGAACTCTTTGTAACCCTAGCCACTCAGGAAGCTGAGATCTGGGGGCCTCAGGTTCAAAGCCAGCTGGGGCAGGAAAGTCTGTAAGACTCTTATCTCCAGTTTACCAGCAAAAAGCTGAAAGTGGAGTTGTGGCTCAAGTGGTAGAGCACTAGCTTTGAGCACAAAAGCTCAGGGACAGCACTCAGGCCCAGAATTCGAAGCCCAGTATTGGCAATAAATAAATAAGTGATGTCACCGCCTCAGCCATGTGATAAACACTTCTATAAAACCAAAGACCACTCATGGATGTGTGTTAGAGGTGAGGTGCTCTTCGAACTTGGACATGTGTTGGCTTGTCCATGATCACTGCTGGTTAAGGGACAGTCTGCTGTGTGTGTAGCTTGACAGGCAATGCTCGCCAACATTCTTCCTGCCACCAACACCAAAATAGTGTGTGTGTGTGTATGTGTGTGTGTGTGTGTTGTTATTTGGCTTGAACTCAGGGCCTGATCGATGTCCCTTAGCTTTTTCACTCAAGGCTGGCGCTCTACCACTTGAGCCACATCTCCACTTCTCTACTTTTGGTGGTTTATTAGAGATAAGAGTCTCACAAATTTTCCTGCCCAGGCTGGCTTTGAACCTTAATCCCCAGATGTCAGCCTCCAGGAGAAGTTAGGATTCTAGGTGCCAGCCACCAGTGCCTGGCTTCAAAGTGCTCTCTGGGTAGCGAGTGCACCCAGCCTTTGATGACTGACTCATTAGTTCCTAAATGGGCTGCAAATGGCCCCAGGAGATTGAGCCACCACCCTCTCCCATTTCAGTTTCCAGCTTCCAGTAAACTAAGCTATTTCAGGCCTGGGCCAGGTTCCCCTTTCCAGAGTGGACCCTGTCTCTTCAGCCATCAGCACCCGGATGTTAGCTCACAGCACAGTTTGCTAAGGGCAAAGGCAGTCTAACCTGGATGTCGGCAGCTGCTCCATTTTTGCAGCTTAATAAGGAGTTGAGAAAGAGATCATAATCTCTCAATGTCTCACAGCATTCATGCCGGCTCCATGCTCTCCTTGCAAGCTTCCACGCCTCCTCCCTTGATATCACCACAGCAGGGACTGGGGCTCCCACAGACACATGTGGGGGCAAAGTAAGCAATTCAATCCCTAGCATGTCCAGGCCATTTCAGGTGAGTCACCTGGGACCCTGAGATTTCTCCAGGTAGATAGAGGAGGTCAGGACATGGTTAAAAGAAGAGGGGAGGGGCTGGTGGCTCATGCCTGTAATCTTAGCTACTCAGGAGGCTGAGATCTGAGGATCCTGGTTGGAAGCCAGCCTGGGCAAGAAAGCCTGTGAAACTAGTATCTCCAATTAACCACCAAAAAGCCAAAAGGAAGCTGTGGCTCAGGTGCTAGAGCACTAGCCCTAAGCAAAAAAGTTCAGGGACAATACCCAGGCCCTGAGTTCAAGCCCCAAGGCCTGAACAAACAAAAATAATAACTAGATAAGCAGAAGGAAGGGTGGAGGATGGGTGGCCAGCCTGGGTGGAGCATGCATGCCAGGATTATGGTTTGTGTATGCTACGCCACTCTGAGTACTAGGCAACCTACACCCCAACAAACAAAGCAGGGCTCCGCCTGCACCCCTTTCCCCACCCCCAGAGCCATCTTTCTTGGGCTTCTCACAAGGGTGGAACCTGGCAAAGGTTGCTTTTCCCTTGGGTCCTGGATGAGCCCCTAGAGAGACTGGTTGCTATGCCTAGCCCTGCTACCTCCAAAATCTGGACCCGTCTCCCAGCCTCTGGGAGGTTGTAATTGGCAAGGCAAAGGTCCCCCAGGACACTCGGGAAGAAGGATAAACATCAGGACGGCCCCTTGGCTTCCTTACAGGACCCCAGGGTTCACTGTCCTCTAGTGCTGAAGGATTTTTACAGGAAACTGGCATAACTGTGCCTCAGTGGATGGCTCATGCCTGTAATCCTAGCTACTTGAGAGGCTAGGATCTGAGGATCTTAGCTTCAAGCCAGGCTGGGTGGGAAAACTCCATGAGACTCATCACTAATTAACCCCCAAAGCCACATTAGGATCTGTGGCTCAGGTGGCAGAGCACCAGCATTGAGCAGGAGAGGGAGGAGGGAAACAGGACAGCAGATGGGCCCTGAGTTCTAAACCCAGTGTACTGACAAAGAGCCACCAACCACATGCAGCCTTCCCAAGTCCCTTGTTTTTGGTCCTAGTTTGTGGCCCAGGTCTTCTAATACCTAGCAATGAGGTAAAGGCTTTGGGGACCTAAAACCCCAGTGGATATTCTGTGTTTCAGCATGGGCGTTTTTCAGTTCCTGATTCTCTGCCTTGGGGCCTCACTGTGGTCACGGGTCCTGCTGCATCTCCCTGATTTCCCCAGCTGGGTCATTCCCAGAACCTCATTCTCTTTTTTTTGGTCATGAGGCCTGAACTCTGGGCCTGGGCGCCGTCCCTCAGCTCTTCAGCTCAAGGCTAGCACTCTACCACTTGAGCCACAGCGCCACTTCCGGCTTTTTCTGCTTAATATGGTGCTGAGGAATCAAACCCAGGGCCTCGGGCATGCAAGGCAAGCGCTCTATCACTGAGCCACCTTCCCAGCCCCAGAACCTCATTTTTTTAATGTTTTTTATTGTACAAATACTGTACAGAGGGATAACAGTTACATGAGTCAGGTAATGAGTACATTTCCTATCGAGCATTGTTACCTCCTCTTTTATGTTTCCCCTATAATCCCTTCCCTCCCCACCTCCCCTGCCCAAGTTCTAAAGTTCATTTTCAACATAGTGTCTTGTACATCTCATTGTTACAATGAGTCAACCTGTATCCTTATTTCAACATTTTGTTATTTCCCTTCCCATCCCCAAATTAGAAAAAATGTATATACAAGATACAGGGCACTGACATCAAATACAGTGAAAACAGGGGTTATACCTTGGGGGAAGGATATACAAAAGAAACAAAAAAATCACATAGTACATTATAAATATGTTAAAAACAACAGCAAGAAAGAAAAAACCTCTTGTGTCCCTATCTTGGGGTTCATTTCGCTAAACATCATCTTATATGGTCATATGTACATAGCTTTTGAGCTTTTCTAGTTGTTGCAGATAAGGGAAACCATGAGACCTATGCAGAACCTCATTCTTAATGCATGATGCTCTCTCTCTCTCTCTTTCTCTCTCTTCTCTTCTCTTTTCTTCTCTTTCTCTCTTTCATGCTAGTACTGGGGCTTGAACTCAGGGCCTGAGCTTCTTTTGCTTCAGCCTCCTGAGTAGCTAGAATGACAGCCATGTGCCACTAGTGCTCCATTAAGCTTCTTGTTTTATTGAGAGAATTCCCAGTAGAGGTAAAATGTAAGTGTAGCAGTTCTATATTCCTATCCTTATTTCATAGTTAAAAACTCTGAGACAGCTGGGTGCTGGTGGCTCACACCTATAATATTAGTTAGTCAAGAGGCTGAGATCAGAGGGCTACAGTTCAAAGCCAAACCAGGCAGGCAAGTCTGTGAGACTCTTATCTCCAAGTTATCATCAAAAAGCCAGAAGTAGGGCTGTGGTTCACTGGTAGAACAACGCTAGCCTTGAGCAAAAGAGCACAGGGACAGCACCCAGACCCTGAGTGCAAGCCCCAAGATCAGTATTTTAACATTTTTTAAAAAAAGATAAAAGAAAAAGTATGAGCCACCAACCTGAGGACCAGCAGCCCCTCCCCGTAGGGGAACAGAGTGGCTCTCACTGTGGACTGGGGGTAAGGTCAACTCAAGGGAAACACGTTTGAAATGCATGGCTCTTGGGTCTAGCTGCTGTCTGGCCGTCCGGGGGCAGCTGTCCCTCCCCCCTGGGAAATGGGCTGCATTCCTTGGGAGCCAAAGCCGCATAGTTGGAAGATACAGACAGCTTCCCCCAGAACCAGCAGTGCACCCTCTGGTCCATTTTCCCACAGTGCCTGGAGGATGGTCTCTTTCGAAAGCCCCAGCTGGACAGAAGGCCTTTGTCTGTGCAAAACGTTCTGAGCTCTCCAGCTCCTTTGTCTCCTCCATCCGGGAAGGCTCCACTTCCTCTGGCTGTTTCACATCCTGGGTGGTGGGACAACAATCCTAATGCCTTGCCCTGCGCTGCCTGTCCGTGGCTGGCTATTCATTAAAATCCTGGCTCCTGAAGGCGCAGGGCACAGCTAGCAGTGAATGAACTGTGGTGACTGCTTTCTGAACTCTGTACCTGGGCACTGTGGCTCATGTCTGTAATTCTAGCACCTCCAGAGGCTAAGATCTGAGGAACACAGATCAAAGCCAGTGAGGACAGGAAAATCCATGAGATTCTTTTATCTCTAATTAACCAGTAAAAAGCCAGAAGTAGAAGTATGGGTCAAGTGGTAGAGCACCAGCCTTGAGTGGAAAAAGCTAAGCAACAGCATGAGGCCGAGTTCAAGCCCCAGTACACTCTCGCTCTCTCTCTTTCTCCCTCCTCTCTCTCCATCACACACACACACACACACACACACACACACACACACACACACATATGAGTTGTCTAAGATGTAGCAGGCTCTGCTTCCTTAGTGGAATCCCCAAGATCTACTCTACTGGGGTGCTGACCTATGTCAGGAGTCCTGCAGATTCTCTGTGTGGCCTCCACCACTGGAGGCCCAACCTTCACTGCTGGAGGCCCAGCCTCCTCTGGAGGTTTTGTTCAGCACACATTCCTTGTTGATACAAATAACCCCATCCCTATCACACGGGGGCCTGGTGCTAAGATCTGGGGTCCCCAGGGTCTGTTTTGCGTTCCTCAATCTGGCAAGAAGGGGAAAAATCAATTACATATCCACTACTAATTAAACACTGGCAGTCTGGACAGCTACTTCTTCAGGAAGCTGATAATAAAGAAGCAAAATATACAGCATGCCAGGGAGAGATGTGGGGGTCTCGGGGGTGAGTTAGGGGCCAGGAAAGACTGATGAGAAACTGATTCATGAGACAAGGCCTGAGATGTTACAGGAAAACACTTGGTCATAAGTCACCAAGGGCAAAGGTCAGGAGGCTGAGTCTGTGACCAGAGCAGAGGGAATGAAGGAGATGGGAGGGGGGTGAAATATGAGAGAAAACGGGAGGTGAGACTGTCTAGGGAAGGGACTGGCAAACCACCAATAAAGACCCAGAATCTAGCTAGCTAGCTAGCTATTTTACTTTTAATACGGCTCCTAGGGTCTGAATGCAGGGCCTGGACACTGTCTCTGAGCTTTTTTGCTGGAGCTACAGCTTCACTTACAGCTTTTTCACTGGTTAAGTGAAGATAAGTCTAACAGACTTTCATGCTCAGGCTGGCTTTGAATTTGAACTGTAATCCTCAGATCTCAGCCTGCTGAGTAGCCAGGGTTATGAATGTGAGCCAAGCCTTTCACATTTTGCAGCAGGGAAAATAGGCCCAGGGGGATTTCAGCCAGCATAAGGTACACAGAACTTAGTATCTTTGCCCCAATCCAGCAGCCAAAAGAGTTAGGCCCAGTCCCACTGAGCTGGGATCTTGGGGCCTGAGACTCAAATCCTAGGGTGATTTTTGTATATGTGAACACCTACATTAAAAAAAGAAGAAGAAGAAGATTTATAGGAGATTCTTAAAATTACCATGTGGGCAGGTGCTGGTGGCTTATACCTATAATCCTAGCTACTTGGGGGGCTAAGATCTGAGGACCATAGTTCAAAGCCAGCCCAAGCAAGTAAAAGCTCTGGGACTCTTCAATTAAACACCAAAAAACCGTAAGTGGAGTTGTGTCCCAAGTGGTATAATAGCATCAGCCTTGAATGCCAAAGCTAAAGGAAAGGGGGGGCACTCTCTAGGTTTACTTTTCTTGCAATGAGAATAGTTCAAGCCTCAGTAAATACATACATAAAATAGTGAACAGGTGACCCTAGAAGGATTTGGAAAGGCAGATTATTTTGAGCTGTAATGATTTGTGCTGGGGTGAGAGGGGTGGGGAGAGAAGTTCAGAGGCCTATGGTCAGGACAAAGAATAGTGAGATAATGCAGAAACTGAAAATGTTTCCATCAGCCCTGTCCTGCCCAGCCCAGCCCACAGCCTGCAAGTCAGCCCAGGCAGAAGTGACTGGTTTGGATTGTGTGTGTGTGTGTGTGTGTGTGTGTGTGTGTGTGTGTGTCCTAGGGCTTGAATTCAAAACTGGTGTGCTGTTGCTGAGCCTTTTCCTTCAAGGCAAGCTCTCTACCACTTGAGCCACAACTACACTTCCAGCTTTTTGGTGGTTAATTGGAAATAAGAGTGTCAGGTATTTCCAGCCTGCCACTTTGAGCCACTGCTCCACTTAGGCCTTTTCTGTAATTAACTGGAAATAGAGTCTCAGGGACTTTCCTGCTTGGGCAACTCAATCCTCAGATCTCAGAGTAGCAGGGATCTAGGCGGGAGGCCCCAGGGCCCCGAGGTCATCTCGCGTTGATTCACCAGATGGAATTTCCTAAACAACGCTGCATTCTCAAAGGCGTCAACTCCGGGCCCCGACGAGCTCCTCCTCCGCGCGTCCCGGGAGCCCGGTGAGCCGCTGGGGCCAGGGACGCGCAGGGAGCCGAGCCGTATGGGGGAAGGGGAGGGACCCTGGGGCCGAGGCGCCCCTCCAGCGCCCCGCACCCGACGCCGCCAGCGCAAAGCCGCTGGGCAGAGCAGCAGCCAGTGTCAGGAAGGGGCGTGGCATGGAGGCGTGGCAGAGGCGATGGGCGGAGCCTTTGGCCAGTTCCATACAAAGGGCGTGTCCGGGAAAAGGGGAGGGGAGTATGAGACAATTCTATTGGCTGGTGCAGGAGCAGGGGCGGGGCGGGGCGACCTCAGCGCAACCACCTCCAGGACCGAGGGCGCTGCGGGCTCGGCTCCCGAGCTGGCGCCCCTCTTTCAGGTGCAGCGTAGGCTCGGCCCCGGCCGGGACTTCTGGATCGCGCAGTGACCGCATGGTGAGTGATACTGGGGCTGAGCCTCCCGTTCACCCAGCCCGGGTCGTCAGGCAGGGGCTCTGGAGCCCGGCGCTGGCCCGCGGGCCCCGCGCGCCCGTGTCCTCCGCTGCCAGCCTGGCGCGATGCGGGGCTGGCCCCTGGGACTGAGCGGGAGCCGCGCCCCGCGCCTCCTCCAGGGCACCGCGCGCATCTTAGCGGCAGGCGGGCTGCACCTGTGCCCCTGCGCCCCGCACGTCAGCCAGTCTCCCAGGAGGGCGGGGGGGGGGGCGGAGTTCCAACCTCTCCTGAGTAACTCTTTGATTTCAAATCCACGCCAAGGTAATAGCAGAAAGAGGGCTCAGCACTGTTTAAGGAGGGGTTTTCTTAGTCCAGACTCGTTAAAGAAAGGGGCATTTAGCCAGGGCGCCAGCGGCTCACGCCTATAATTTGAGCTATGCAGGAGATATGAGGATCTTAGTTCGAAGCCAGGTCGGGCAGAAACATCCCTGAAACTCTTATCTCTAATTAACCACCAGAAAACCGGAAGTGGAGCTGTGGCTCAAAGTGATAGAGTGCTAGCTAGCCTTGAGCAAAAGATATCAGGGACAGCAGCAGGCCCTGAGTTCAAGTCCTACAACCAACAAAAAAAGGGGGGGAGACATTTATTTTTATTTGTGTGCCACTATTGGCACTTGAACTCAGGACTTAGGCATTCTTTAGCTTTTTCACTCAAGGCTGGCCCTCTACCACTTGAGCCACACCTCCACTTGTGCCCTTTTGGTGGTTAATTGGAGCTTAGAGTCTCAAGGACTTTTCTACTGGGCTGGCTTCTAAGTGCCACCCTCAGATCTCAATCTCTGGAGTAGCTAGGATTACAGGTGGGAGTCACTGGTGCCTGCCTGGCTAAGAAAGGGCTTTGAAATCTACCACTCCTCTCAGCAGGGGTGAGACTCCTACTTTGATTATCCCCATTTACAGGTGAGAAACTGAGACTTAGTTACAGAATTGTCTACCTTTCATCCAGATCAGTCAGTGGTGAAGGTGGGCTTTAAACCCACTGCTGGCTGTCCCTCCAGACTTCCTGTGCTTCTCTTCTGGCTTTGAGCTCATCCCACTGACTGCCCTGTAACCCCTGTGCTCCTGACTTATTGCCCATGCTCCCATGTTCCCCACTGCTGAATGATACCTTAGTGTTTTCATAAGTCTGGCACAGCCCTGAGAGAGGGATCCACCCCTCAGCCAGTGCCAAACTAGCCAGAGCACCTTGAAACACTGGAAGGAGTGTCCTAGAAACCCCATCCCACGTGGGAATCAAAGGAGGTCCACAACAGATGAGAGCTGGGATTCTGTAAACTTACCCCAAACAGGTCAGACTCCAAAGTCAGATCATGTGGTAGAAGAAACCCTCGTTGCCTTTGCAGTAGTTTAATTAGTCACAGATCTAGGAATGTCAGTCAGGATTAGTTACCAAAAGCCACGGAAAATCCTCAGGATACTGAGATCTGAGGATTGAGGTTTAAATCCAGTTTAGGTAGGAAAATCTGTGAGTCTCTTAGCTCTAATTAACCACCAAAAAGCAAGAAATGGTGCAGTAGCTCAAAGTGGTAGGGCACTAGCCTTGAGCACAAAAGCTCAGGGATAACATCCAGGCCCTGAGTTCAAGCCCCAGATCTGGCACAAGAAAAAAGAGAGAGGGAGGGAGAAAGGAAGGAAGGAAGGAAGGAAGGAAGGAAGGAAGGAAAATGCCCCTCTGAAACCAGGAGACTCCCATGGCCAGAGCCTGAGGACAGAATCAAGATCTAGGATCCTTCTGGACTCTGGGCTACCTGGACTGTGGAAGATAAGAAGCATGAACAGAAGTTGTGTCACCCATATGTGTCCTTTGGTACAGACCCTGTGACTACGAAGCCTCTACGGGAAAGGGCACCTGACTGTGGGGTGTGACAGAACCCCCTGACCTGGGCCCCTGGGACCTGGGTCCAGGTTGAGCCCTGTCTGCCTCCTCTTGTAGTAGGTCCTGGGGGAGACCCTTTGTCCCCTCTGAATCCTACATTTTCATTTCTAGAGCTGCAATGGCACCTTTCATCAAGGGCACACAGATCTCCCTGGGCCCCCACAACAAGGTCAGCCCTAACAGTCATTCCAGAGGGGCCAGGCCACAAACAGCTCAGGTCTCATTTGTCTCACACAATTAATAAAGGAATATAATTTGCCTGCTGCCTGTGGCGCATGCCTGTAATCCTTGCTACTCAGGAGGCTGAGGCTTAAGGATTAGGGTTTGAAGTCAGCCTGGGCAAGAAAGGCCATGAGACCCTTTTTTTTTTGTTGTTGTTTTGTTTTTTTATTTGGCCATGAGACTCTTATCTCCAATTAACCAGGAGAAAGCTGCAAGTGGAGGTGTGGCTCAAGCAATAGAGCACTAGCCTTGAGTGATCAAGCTTAGGGCAGCACGTAGGCCCTGAGTTCAAGCTCCAGTACTGGCATCAAATAAATAAATAAGGAATGTAATTAATATAATTAGTTAACTAACAAGAAACCCAAGGTTGAGAAAGGAATGGGCCCAGTTCCCCTGTATACGCAGGGAATTCCAGAGCTGGGCACTGAGCCCAGAACATGAAAAGGCTGAGGAGTTATCCTCTTACAAACTACACTGAAGAAAATATCTTAAAGTAGTTTGGTCTGTGTGTGTGTATATGTGTGCATGTGCACACACATGCACATGTGTACTGGTCCTGAGTTTCTTTTGCTGGAGGCTAGTATTCTACCACTTGAGTCACAGCACACTTCAGATATTTGGAAATAAGAGTCTCACAGACTTTCCAGGCTGCCTTCCGACCTCAATCCTCCAATCTCAGTCTCCTGAGTAGCTGGGACTCCAGGCGTGAGCACTAGCACTCAGCTTAAAATAATTTTAAAGTAAAGTAGGAAGTGGCCCAAACTTCCTGAAGCTTCTGCAGTTCCCCATCTGTCTTAAGGGGAACTTGGAGCTGTCTGGTCACTTTTCTGTCCAGTCTTCTTCCCCAGGCTATGAGGCGGCGGGAGATTCTGAGTCCCTCCCCTGGATTGCCCCATGGCCCCTGGCCACAGTGCTGGGAAGAGCCCTGAAGACACTTGGCCAGCTGCTACTGTGTGTCTAGTTCACCCAAGGCCCAGGGGACCACATAGAAGCTGACGTCACTTGCCAAGTTGAGGCAGAAGCAAAGCTCACAGCTCCATCCCACTCTGCCAGAGTTCTCTGCCATGGCTCTCTGTGTGACACATTTCAGCAGAGGTTGTCACCCTGGGATCTGGAGATGTGGAAATGGGCTCCTTCTCCCTCTTGTAGTGTTGAACACATCTAGTACATTCACGGACACACACCCAGGAAGCTCTCTGAGGTGAGAATGTACTTTTGCAAAAAACTCTAAAGGCTGGGCACACCTATAATCCTACCTACTCCAGAGGCTGAGATCTGAGGACCCTGATAAGAGTCCATGGAATTCTTACCTCCAGTTAAGCAGCAAAAAGTCACAAGTGGAGGTGTAGCTCAAGTGGTAAGAATACTAGCATTAATTGAAAAAGCTAAGGGACAGAGCCCAAGCCCTTGAGTTCAAGTTCCAGTACTGGCACACTCACACACACACACACACACACACAGGACTCTAAAATATTTCCTGACCAATAAGGTTTGAGACATTCCCTTGGGTCCCAGAGCAGAGGCTGCCAGGCAGGAAATGCTCCTAGTTTAGGACAGGAGAGCCAAGGCCAGGAAGTATGGTGGAAATTCAAGGAAAATCAGGGCTGGAGATTTCCATACAGATTTTTTTCTTTTGCCTGTGGCTGCTATGTCTTGAGACCAATATCTGGCAGAAACTAGACAATCCGGCTCCCAGGGATGTGGGGACAGTATTGCCTCTAGTCTAGGCACATAAGGAAGTTTGGAGACAATGGCCAGAGGTCTGAGGTCTTCAAAGGAATCAAAGATCAGGCACTTCAGAGCCAGGGGAACAGTGTCCTGGAAGCCTAGGATCAGAATGAGCTCAAGGAAAGAGTGATGGCTGTGGACACAGCAGAGGCAGGCTGGGATTGGTCAGCCCAGGGTGAGGCCTGGGGTGTAGGTGTCTGTGGCTCTTCACCTGATTCCCTGAGCTGTCCAGCTTCCACTGCCCCAGCTGACAGCTGCTGGAGACTCCACAGAGACTCCTCAGGCTTTGCCTGGCAGGATCTATGGGGATGGGGCCTGAGCTGGGGAAGGGTATGGTACGGCTGGACAGAGGTGGGTGGTGGGAGGGGGGAGGGAAAAGGAGAGGGTAACAGGTAGGGAACAGCAGGTGAAGTGAGCAGCTGGTATCCCTTCCTGTGGTCCACACCCAAACAGTTGGCTTTCTCAGCACAAATGGGCTTGGTGGGTTAGCCTCTGCCTAGCCCCTTAAAGGCAGCTGACTTCTTCCCCGGCTGAGCTTCTGCCATTTGCTGGCTGACAGGTGTTGGGAGGGCCTTTCGCAAGTTCATTGGTGGCTGGGAACCACCAGTGGCTCACTCCTGTAATCCCAGCTACTCTGGACCAAGGTTCAAAGCCAGCCTAATCAGGAAAGTCAGAGAGACTCTGATCTCCAATTAACCACCAGAAAAGCTGGAAGTGGGGCTGTGGCTCCAATGGTAGAGAGCCAGCCTTGAACAAAAATGCTAAAGGACAATGCCCAGGCTCTGAATTGAAGCCCCAGTACTGGCACATGCGTGCACACACACACAAACACATACATACATATGCACACACACACACAAACACACGTTCCCTGTTTTCAGTGTCCAGTTGCTGCCCTGGATGTTATTTAGAAGCTGCAGCCAGGGCTGTGGAGGATGGAGGGCCTCCGGTCCCCCTTGGCAGTGTGCCATTGATGTGCATGTCCAGCTTCTGTATCCAGTAGCCCTGCTGGAGAGTTCAGACTGTGCCCACCTTTCTTTTGCTTCTTGGGTCTTTTCCTTCCTTCCTTCTTCCTTCCTTCCTTCCTTCCTTCCTTCCTTCCTTCCTTCCTTCCTTC